GCTGAGGATGAGCAATTGTGTGGGAGGCAAAGGTACGACAGTGAAGCATCTTCACATTTCCTCTCCACGTAGGAAGAGCAAAGTGGCAGCCTCTGAGTTGTTCAGCAGCTGTTCCCAATGGGGTGGGAAGAAGCTTCCCCTTCTTATCCAACAGGATTGCAGCTGTGCTTAGTCATCTTCTGGGGCCACCTGGTGCTGCACAGGATTTGGACACATTTACTGGGTTCAGTAGTCCATCGCATGGACATGTGGCAACAGCAGTGAAGAAGAACTCATTCTTAAGACCTGAAGGAGGGAGTGCCCTTAGGCTTTACCACATCTGAAAACAACATCCTCATGTCAATAGCTTTTACAGCCCCCAAGAGAGACATAGAAATGGTTCAGTGGCCAGAAGCTGCCTGAAATGTTCAGTGTCTAGACTTGGCTGTTGAGGAAGCATCTTTAGGCTTTCCTTTTATTCCCTGTTATGTGCCCCCAGTTGGTATCCTTCAAAGGATATTAAACTGAATACAGTAAGGATCTAAAGATTTCGTATGGTCATTTTGCTGATACAGTAACAAGCACTTCATATGTATTTGTACACATTATCCAGTGTATAATCTTTATAGGGTTATACTACTGTTTGTTTTTTGCAGTCTACAGACCCCTTAGTTTTGGACAGGGGCTTGCCCCATAGTAAGAGCAATGCAGAATGATATAAATGGGTCACAACATGGTTTCTAACTCAAAGAATAAATCATTCAGTTACAGTATAGAGATGCCACCAGGTTAAAAATAGTCAGGGAAGTGCAAAAAGCTTTTTATCTACCTCAGAAGCAACAGCTAAAGGCAATAAGCCTACAGTAATAGCTGTAAGCAGTAGCAGTACTTGCTTGTCCCCTTGATTATTATCTTTGCAGTCTTTAATGAGAAGAATTGTTTGCAGGGCATTGAAAGGATGATGTGCAAGCTACTGTTACTGGTGTTTGGGGCTGTTCCATGAGGACAAGTAAAAGCAGAAGTCAAGAAGGTCATTTTACTTTGCTGGTTGAGAATCTCAGTAATCTGCAAGGTGTCACCTCTTAAATGATCATTGTTTTCTGCCAGGAAGAAGTGAATTAACACAATGTACATCTGGTTCACTATTGCACATTTACAACTTTAAGAAACATGCAAAGTATGAATTTGGGGGTGGGGAATGACCCCTGCAAGTTAACAGGGGTCATTTGGTTTGGTTTCCTGTAGCCACTGAATAAAGAGACCTGCTGGCATAGCAGTCACCTTTATATGACCTACTAACTTGCTAGAAATTGTCTACCCTGGGTTGTCTAATTTCTTAGCCAGAGGAAATTACAAGGGGAAAAGAAAGGCAGTGATGTAAGAAATGCAGCTGTATGAGTTTATGGGCTTAGCTAAGATAGTCCTACTGTAGGAAATGTGGTCACCTGCGGTGCGATTCCTTCAGAAGTGGGCAAGAGCTGCTCCGAGCAGCAGGGTTTGTGGCTGTGTGTTCCAGGTGAAGGTGTTTTTGTACTCCAGGTTGACACAGTTTGGCCTATGAATTCTTTATGGGCTGTGGCTTGCTCCGTGCTCATGATATGTTAGTACTAGGCATGTAACCAGCTGAGATTGATTCTTCTGAAGCTAGCCTCTTTCTCCCTCTGCTTTGTATGTGTGGCTTCTTAAAATACATCACAATTTTGCCTGATGTTATTATCTTCTGTTTGCAGGGGGAATGCTTCACACCCATTTGCTCCTTTCCTTTTTCAGTGTGTTGGCTTGCTCAACTGGGTTTCATCTCCAAGTCTGTCAGTGCTGTAGAAGGGGAAGCTGGTAATAACAAAACACTCATACAAATTCCCCCTAGACGCTGCTGTCGTGAGACATTTTTGCATGTTTTATGGCCCTCTCTGATAACTATAGAGTGGATGAGGGCATCAAGAAATCATGATTTGGTAATAAATTCATGTGGCCACACAGCTTTGTTAATGTGTACAAACTGACTCCCTTTTTGGGCACCATGAATGACATCATGACATTCCAGGGTTATCACGGTTTTTAGTTACTGTGTCTGGTTTTGCATCTGTCTGGTCTTTATATTACTTTCCTGTCTCAATTAAGCATCTCAGTAAGGCTCAATAAGCATTCTTTCTCCAGTTGGTTATATTTGTTTTCTTTGCGTCTAGGAATCCTTTACACTGACTTCTAGTTATGTTGCAGTGTGGTTTTACTGTTAAACGGGCATTGGAAGAAAATTCTTTGCAGTTCTGGGAACCCCTTTCCAGGCTACCGATGATACAATGGCTCATTGTTCTTTCCCAATAATAATTGGGCACATTTTAGACTAACAGGGGTTCAGAAGTTTATGAAGCAACTTTTTGGGCCTGTTGTTTTGCTATGAAAATTTGTGGACAGACTAAGAATGGTAACACAATTACATGCCCACAGTACCTAACCCATATAAGCATCTGATGAATTTTTGATGTTAATAGGCTTCAATTAAAATACTAGTTTACTCACCTATACAGTCTCAGTTGACTTTCATATCTGCCAGTTGTTGTGTAGAAAACACTAGAATTTTTGCTCAGGCTCCCTAGTAAGTATTTGAATGTGCACTCCTCTCCCCTCATTGGTTGTTGTTGACCAGAAAGACTTGCAGGCTTGTGCTGTGTTCTGAACTCAAGATAACTGTGGGTACTCCCAGTTCAGTGCAATATTGGGAAAATCATCTTTCAGCATGAGAGTGGAGCTGATGTACTCATTTGCTCAGTGACAAAGCTTCAATGAAAAAGATGTAGCAGTGAAAATTCTTCTTTCCTTTTTTCTTCTTTCCTTTTTTCCCAACTCTTCAATGTGATGAAAATAATTTGTATGTAAAAAGTCTGACTAGGATAGGACCGTTTTGTTCTGTAAATTGACATATGTTTCATAGATAGGGCATATATTCAAATAGGGCCCAGAAGTCATCACTATGAATCGATTCTTGAGAAATTATATTATGTTTCCTGCCCACTTTTTAATAGAAAAATGTGTCTCACACTATCTGCTATCACAGTCAGCACCTGCAACTAAGTAATAATGGATGGGACATATAAGCCACATGTTATTGATGAGCTCAATTTCTTTGTCTTGAGTGTTGTCTTGAGTTTGTGTTCAGTGGTGCCTCTTCTGTGAAAAAAAGAAAATAATGGTACTTCCTTCAGAAGCCTTAGTTCATTCTTATTGTATTTTTTTTTCTTTAATGAGGGGATGTGTATTCTGCATATTCAATGATATTAGCTTTTCCACTTTCTTCAAATGGAAGACTAGGGCTTTACATACCTTCTTCTTTAATTGTGTACCTGGATCTGTGTTGATATTTTTCCAGTGCTTCTCTAGATTTCCTGCAGCTGGCAGCCTTATTTTCTTGGAGTTTGTACTAGCTTGCAGTATAGTCAAACCTGTTACCTTTCCTCTTGTAGCACTGCATCCTAAAGCAATGGGAGTTCATTTTACTGTAGAAAGAACAATTATATTGGCTGTTGAGGTATTTTATCAATATATGTTCCTCAATACTTGCTGCATTTTCGCCAAGGTTCATGACTACAAACCTGTTTTGGTTTGGTTTGGGGGTTTTTGTGTGTGTGTGTATGTGTGTGTGGTTTTTGTTTTGGTTTGCTTTTTTAGGGGCCTGGGGGGTTTTTGGTTATTTATTTAAGCTTTTTTATTGTTGCATCTGCCTAACAGTAGCAGAGTTCATTACAAGAGTTCTGGGTTTAAAAGCTAACCAGCTCTTCCAGTCACTTCTTTGAGACCTGGATGTAAATTAAATTATGCTGACCAAACCCTTATCTCACTGGTATAAAAATGGACTGCTGTCTTTGATGCAAGTTTCTAAAGGAGTTTGAGACCTTGCAAGATGTAAAGAGCACAACTGTCAAAGAAGGATCATAATGTCAAGAGTGTCATCTGAAAAGAAAAACTGATTCTCCAGAAAGTTTATATGGTTCTACTTGATCTGAGGATGCTATATTAGATAATGTAGTCTTTGATTCCCCTGCTCGTTGATCAGTATTTAAGCATGTATTTTTGCACATGCTGTAAACGCATCGGTCCTTTGCAAGCTGAAGGAAAATATGCCACCAGAAGGATTTGGTGACACTTTAAAGTCTTTGAGCACTCAATTAAAGGGAAAGCAAGACAGAAGCCTAATTTCTTCTGATTACTTCTGTTTGATTGAAATATTAAAATGCATAATACTATTTCTTCTCTTTTATTCACATTTCTGTCTTGCACTTATAGCTTGTTCTTTTCAAAGCTATGATACAGTTAATTTTTTTCCCTGTGGTCATCCTGCTCTTAAGAGGGATGAAGAAGTGACTCACTTTCTGCCTAATGCTGTCTCTAATTGATGACTCATCTGCTTATTCCACCGTTAGTGGTCTTTTATGCACTGAAGTTGATCAGTAGGTGTTCCACATAGCTTCCTATTTAGACTCAAACAGTTACAGTGGTGATCTTTAGGCACAAATGTGCCTGGCCTATTTGGCAACAGCTTTCTGATATTTTCCCCAATCAATCATTACAACAGAAAAGGAACCACTACCTAACAGATCCCAAAGGAAAAGGAGTGCATCTTTACAGCCAGAATATTCAAAAGCTTCTGGAAGCCTTTCACTCCTGAACAGGGATAGTACCTCTCTCACTCAAGTCCTTGGCATGTGAACCTTCTTAACATGAGAAAAGGGAAATTTCTATCATTATGTTATAACTGAAAAGGCCTATGTACATCAGGCCTATCATCAATATGTATTATCTCCAATTTGAGTTTTAGCACATCTTTTTCAGCTCTCCTATTCAGAGCCTTTGTCATTGAGTCTAAACATGGCACTGAGCATTGAGTCAGCATTCAAAAATACCCATCCTGCTCACAGCAGCTCTTGTGATCTGCATTGCTAGTTCACACAGTATTTGGGTAAAAATTATGTTGTTTTTAACATTATATTTAATAGTAACTGGGAATGTTGCTTGTTTCTGTTTAGATGAGAGTCCTTACACAAAATCTGCAAACCAGGCAAAGGCACCTGATGGAGCACTGTCTGTGAGGAGACAGAGTATTCCAGGTAAGACTTGCTTTGCTTTTTATAACATCTAACTTGTTTTGAACAACAAGGTGATACTAATCAAAATTCAATTAGTTATAAAAAGCAAATGAATTACAGTTGCTACCAAGCAACTTTATAAAGAAGGTTCCATAGGAGCTGTAAGATGTTCCCACAATTAGGTTACCTCAAGCTTTTGCTGTGAAGAACATCCCTGTATCTCTGTCTTTTGCAGCAGATTTGAGACATTGAGCACAACAACCTTTTCATCAGAGACCTATGTATTTTCAGGCCCTATGAAATCTGTTCTTTGATATCTGGTTTCAGTTGTGTAGGGAGATTGGCCCATATTTTCTACTACTGATTGGCCAGGCTCAGAAATCTAACAGGGCAACACTCTGCCAGGGTTCTCGTCTTCATGAAATTTTCTGCCACACCTATGCCCATCTTGTCTTTTGTGTTGTCACATCGCACAAAGCTGGACCATTAGATAAATGGTTAAAATAAGTGATCTTTGAACCTCTGTCTCTTTTATTTACTTCAAACAAGTCTGCAAAATATGCCCATGGAAAACAAGCTTTATATGCATATTGTGCAGAAATCTAAAGGGATTTTCAATTCAAGTAATATTTTGCAGAACTTTTAATGAAAACAAACGAACACTGAGAAGGATTGCACACAGGTGGAATTACTGATGTTGCCAGTCTCACCTCAAACACAGTAACCTCTGACTTGAAGGGCAGATGCGTTGCAATAGAAATCAGAAACTGTAAGGTCATGACTTAATGACTAATGTTAACACTACCTGCGCTCCTTGGCCTTATTGTTGAACAAAGACACACAACTTACAGGGTGTCTGTGGATGGGGGAAGGAGCTCAGACCTTTATCACTGCTCGGCTCAGATCTCATCCCAATAGCTATTGTGAACAGCCAAAATACGTTTTGTGAATGCTTTGTCTGCATGTTTCTATGTGTGAGGGGACCCCTGGTGGTCTAGTGGTTAGGATGCAGCACTCTCACCGCTGCGGCCCCGGGTTCAATTCCCGGTCAGGGAAAAAGTCCCCCGGGCAGATGGAGCTCGTCAGCCCTGTGAGGCCATCCATCTAAGAGAAGGTCACTCTAAACAAACCTACATTCTGAGGACCTCACTGCCACTGTCCAAGCTTACTCGGCCCCGGCAGAAGAACCTTAGGATTAAAGGGTGGGCTCAGTTCAGCGCACGCTGTGTCTCACCTAAAAAATCCACTGCGCAGGCTCGAAGAGTTAATGACCTTTCCCAAATCTTCGCTCGCGAAGACTGGCCATACTCTATGTGTGAGAGGGACCAAGCTGGCTGATTGACTGTTGGTTATAATGAACATTTTTGTTCATTGTTGAAAACATCCTAGTGAATTAAAGATTGTTATTTTATAGTAGAATCACGCATATCATAACCACTGTGAAATGACGTGACTACAGTCTCCAGTGTCCAGTTATTGTTATGAGAAAATATTTAATTATACAACATCAACCAAGTTTTTTTCTAACCCAAGTCAATACAAATCAATATTCATTGTTCTTCAGAGTGAATTAGAACCTGGTACCTTTTTGAGTAATGCTTTAGCTCATAGGTCAATAATATTTATGACCTTGGAAGTGTTCAATCTTTTGATTTTTTTTTATTTTTTGCTGTAAACTTAGTAATTATTCTTTAAGGTGTAGTTACTGTATTTGGAAAACATATATGCTAATATATGAGTACAGACAGAAGTTTGTGGTTTCACATGACATTTTGAGAACTACTGATGATTTTCACTACTGTTCTTTAAAGAGAAGGTTTGATGAAAACTGGACCAGTACAATTTTTCTTTAGAGCATTTGGTAAGATTAGGAATTTTAGGTGTTGAGTATTCTTCATGGCTAATGACCATTTATTTTGCTTTTTTTACAATATTTTGGTATATTCTGGAGTTTCTGAGAGCATTGCAGATGAATTTTTACTATTAGTCAGAGTTTATTCAGAGAGATAATGCTAAGATGTGCTTTACTGTATTTCAGGTGTTCTGAAAAAAATATCTAAGCTTATGTATGTTCTTCAGCTTTTAATATGGTGTTGACATTTATCTGAATGCCTTATTGCATCTCTAGACCTTAGGAGCTCCAAAGGATAAATGAGCTTGAGCTGGTTGGATATTTAAAGAAATAAAAATTAAAACTTTTTCATGTCCTGACAAATTCTCATTGTAACACAGTGGATGTTGTGGGTTTGAATACATAAATGGCTTTGCAAAACTAAGTAGTATTTTGAGAATTAACTTGAAGATTTAGGAGTTGACTGAAGTTTCTGAAAATAACCTGTAAAAATTTATATCACTTGGATGCTGAGAAAATTTGACTCTACATTTTATATGTAAGATACCACCTTGTAAATAGCTTCTATTCTTGCTTGTCTGCAGACATTTTATCCACATTATGGATTAGTCTTGACACAGATGCAGAAGCATCCCAGCTAGCCGGCTTGGTTTGGCAATAGGAGGTGTACTAGTTGTATTAACTAGTATGAGGCCAGAAGTAATACAGTTGCTTTTGCTTGGGAGCAGGATCACAGTTCTGACAGTATGTAGGTCAGCTCCAAATAGCTTTTGAATTGAAAGGTATGATGCAATGAACCTAATAAATTCTTCTGGACCTGGATGGAAACATGTCAGCTGGAGTTACTGTCAGTAATCCTTCCATGGAGAGCTTACCCTGTGTGGAAAGTATTCATTTCTATTCCACCCAGATGGTATGCCTGATAAAACATCACGTTCCTGAACTGCTGGTTTTTTAAGCTTGAAGCATGGTAGTATCTTTGACAGTATAGCTGTCTATTCCACTTGATGCTCTGTCATTCCTTAGATGTGGACAGCAGATGTCCTATTTCCAGGAAATGCTCTGCCTGTTGAATCAGCCAAGAGAAAACTTCTGGATTTTAGCAAGGTGATTGATTTTATGCAGAGCTTGCACAGGTTTGAACAATCTGTGGAAAAAACACTAGTGAAAATATATATACAGGATGTGTGATGTAAATCTTCCAGCTTGGTATGGGATCATGGCATCTCCCTGTGTCTGGTTAAAGTTCCTTCTCGTGACATTTGAATTCACTTTAAAGGACTCCTCTGCTCCATCCTTTTGGCCAGCTATCAAAAAGTGAAGCTTTTGTTGCTGTGAGACCTGAAACTGCTATACCAACTGTAAACCCCAAGATATGGTTTTTATCTTTCCATGTGAAACTGTATTGAAAGCGCAGTATTGATGAGCAATGACTGAGTGCACAGAGAAGTAATGTAGCTCAGGCTCATGGAGCTCATGGAGCTCAGGCTCAGTTTATTTTACAGGAAAAAAATGTTGAAATAGTAATTTTATAATTAAAATCAAATGAGCACATACTGTGAGATCAGTGCACTGAGTTTAATTCCTTTCATCCCCAGAAGGAAGGAATGGATTAAGCATCTCCCTGGAGCAGAACTTGCTTATTCGAAATACAGAATGGATTATTTGTGTGATGAGACTACATGTCATATTTAGCATGTCTTCACATGGTGCAAAATCAACAAGCAACAGATCCTTTCAAAGGGATTTATAGAATTGCTGAAATTATATTTAATTCAAATTACGTGCATTTAATTCAAATTACGAGTTTGAAACTTGGACTTAATTTTGCATATATGTAGGTCTTTAGTTACAGTTATATATATGATTGTTTGAAACATTACTTAGCTTCACAGTCAGAATTTCTTAACTTAAAAGTGAACCTTAAGGTAATGCCATCATGACAAGCAGCCTGCAAAGTCAGAAACAGGTTTTCTCCTCCAAACATTTAAATTTAGACTGTTGACCAGTATATAATGAAACCTTACTACTACTCTGCCCTTACAGAAACCAAGGGGGACGTTATTGTGCCCCATTCAAGAAACTTATCACTGCAGGACTAGTGTTAAGGCACATAAATGAAAACAATGTGTTTCAGAATTCATCGGTAAGACCCTTCCCTCAGAATTACAGATGCAATTAGAAAGTCTGTCATTTAAAAATAAAGTATTTGATAGTCACTTTAGATGTAGATGGCTGTAGTTCCCACTGATTTCCTGGACTGAGGTTGCCTGGTTTGCCAAGGGTCCAAGCAGTGCCCAGCCAAGGGCATGCATTAGGAAAATAGCACTTGAGTCAAAGGTGTTGCTCCTGGGATTGCTTTTTCCTGCAGCAGCTTTAAAAAGGACATGAAATGTTCCTATGGCACTGATACAATGTCAAGAGCTGATGACAGTGTTCAAGAGGCACCTTGAAGTCAAGGAGACCTTAACATTTGCTTTAAGATAAGCATGATCTCAGTGCTATCCTGAATAGGGGCGGGCTGAATAGCTACTCCCATGCTTTCCAAACTAAAATCCAATGCCCTCTTATCTGTTTTAACAACATGGATAAATCAGACAACACTAATGCTCTGCAAGTTGTTCTCTTCATTCATCTATTTGTTTAGGGGGATAGAGGGGAAAGAAATGACCTCACACAAGAATAAAAATAATTCCTTTGTGAAGCAAAAATAACTCACCATAAATTTCAGACTAAGCAAAATATTTCATAAAATCTGCAACAGAAGTATAATTTTGTTTTTAGTCCAATTCTGGACGTGTTTTTAATTGAGTCTTAAAAGTTACTGTTATTAAAAAAAATAGTAAAAAACACCACAATTTTTTAGGATTAAATGTTTCAGTTTCTCAATGTTTGATTTTTGTTGGTTGAATTAATTAGTAAGTTTCAGTTAAATTTGCAAATGGGTCAAAAGTAAATTATTTTTCACAAGAAATGAATTTGTGCCTAATCTAGTTAATATTAAATTAAGCTATTTTAAAAATCCATACTTTTTACTTCTGGCATCTACTGACTTAAACATCTGCACTACAGCAGACTTCTAGACATGTAAAGTCTTGTTGCCTGAAGTAGTCAAGGGCTCAGAACTATTTATGTGAACTATGTAATAGGAGAGTTATTTGAATCATCT